GTAGCAATGTATGGTAGTGAGAGCTGGGCCATAAAGTAAGCTGACCACTGAAGAAATGATGCTTTTTAATTGTGGTGCCAGAGGAAACTCTTTATAGACCTCTGGACTGCAAGGAGATCAAACCTATCTGTTCTGAAGGAAATCAACCCTGAGTGCTCACTGGAAGGACAGATCCTGAAGGTGAGGCTCCAATACTTTGGCCATCTCATGAGAAGAGAAGGCTCCCTGGAAAAGACCCTGATGCTGGGAAAATGGGAAGGCAAGAGGAGAAGGGGATGTCAGAGGACAAGATGGTTGGACAGTGTCACCGAAGCTACCAACATGAATTTGACCCAACTCCGGGAGGCAGTGGAAGAAAGGAGGGCCTGGCGTGCTCTGATCCATGGAGTCACGAAGAGTCGGACACAACTTAATGACTAAACAACAATAAAACAACATGGGAACTGGTAACCTGAGGTGCAGCTTCCCCCTCATGCACTTGTTTGATCTGTAAGATTATCTTGAGAGGCTTCCTGGTGGCATGACATACTTCTAAGGTCCATTATATATTAATTAAACAGTTCCAGATGCTTAGCTTAATTAAAAATCAAACAGTTAATAATTGAATATGGCTACTTCCAATGGTTATTTCATAGCAATGGTAAATACATGTTTCATTACTTTAAAAAAGTGAGGCTCAAATCAGTTTTAGCTTTTTAAAAAAGCTTATTTGGGCTTCCACATGACATAATAATTAAAGGCAAGACATGACTGTTAACTGTTAAAAAGGATCAGTCTGTACTGACTGCAGAGAATCTAATAATATGGCTGGCCTTCTGTTAACAGAAGGTAAAGATTAGGATACATTTAATGTGCTGTGTAACTGCTACATAATGTTAAATCATCACAATTTGTTTTCAGGCCGCTATTTAGAAGGAAATACAGAATAGCTTGATTTATCGCATCATATCAAACAAGACATGAATGAGGAACTGTGCAATGCATACAACTGCTCAAATTCTCCCAAATTAGAATGACTACAGCTTTGTCTGAGAACATGAAGCATTGGATGGTGTGTGCACCTCTTCCTTAACAATCATCCAGTCCTTCTCTATTTGGCTTGTCGGTGTGCATATGTGTGCTTTGTTTCCCAAAGGGAAAAAGAGCTGAGAGAAATCTTGTGCTTATTAGAAAGACCCTGACCCAAAGAAAGAACTCTCTGCTTTACTCTCAGCTGATGGAAGTTTTGGGGCTTCAAACTTCCTTCTCCATTGTTTTCATTATAGCGAAACAGCCAAACTGCCGGGTACAAGAATCTTAGAAATTGTTCTTTACATCCCTCGCTAATGCTGCTCAGTGATGAAAAAGAAGAGGCCATATTCTCTGCTTCATGAAGTTGATATACGTTAGGTGGATGGGGGTTTGTCAATTCATTATCTTCTAGCAGGGCTAGCTCTAGAATTGTACAGAGTAAGGCAGCCACTTCAGGCAGCAAATCCTGAATGTTATAACGTGGAGAGGAGTGGCAAGCCCTTGGCCACCGCCACCTTGTTCTCCAGGCAGACTGTCTTACACTTTTTAAATTAGTGTGATATTCCTGATGCAGTGGAGAATGCTCTCCCAATACCAGTACTGAAGTAATATTCAACTGTCATTCTGCATGTGGAGTGGATGTGCATGTTCTTCTCCTCTATCTCAGGCAACAAAGTAATTTCAGCCAGGTCTAACTTCCAGGCACAGAAATTCCATTGATAATGCAGGTGCCTCACTATATTTCCAATCATCCTTCCTCTATTTTTTTTTTTTTGCTTGTTCTCTCATCTTTTTCCCCAAAATGTTTGAAAAAGAGCAGGTTGTTTTTTTTTTCATTCACATCCTCTTTTCTACATACTCACATGCATGTAAATATATACACACTCACACATATGCACATGCACACAGCATTTTAGATTATTTTCCTCTCCTGTTAATGGCTCCCCTAGAGACAAGAAGTGCTGCCAGTTATGCTGGCAACGTTATGTTCAGTTAAATCCTCCACCTCCACTATGATATACAACTTTTATCTTTTGGAAAAATTTGAAAGCAATTTAGGTTTCTATGGGAAAATAAAAATAAAATAGCTGTGGGAGAAGGCTTATTGGGTTGATGACAAATTCTGCCATTCTTACTCCCACCAACCTGGATATATATACGAACATTTCATAGCTTGCAGTAGACTCCTACATATTTCTACAGACCCCTTCCATAAGGGGCTCTCTGAGACAAAGTGATGGCTTTGGCACCCAAGGCAGGCGTCACTTCACCACTAGGAAATGATGTAGATAGGAACTGGGTCTTTTCTATGTAGATCCATGCTAGAAATTCAACTGTCTGCTAGACAATGTTTGTTCCCATGTTAAATGTCACACTGGATGCGTGGAAAGGAGAATGACTACTCATGTACAGTTTCTCTCTTCAGGGAACTTGTGAAATAATCTGCAAGTGCACAAAGAGGACAATTCTCTCATCCTATGGACAGTGTCCCCAAGCAAATGAAGGAATAGAAATCCGCTCCAAGGTCTTATACAAATTTGGAAGGGGAGATCTTATTTCAGAGATCTTTTCTGCCTCCTTTAGGCATCCTCCAGATCAGAACTGCAGACAGGGAATGAGAGACATCCTACGCGTGGCAGTGGTGAAGGAAAGGACTTGGAGCCATTATTTTCCAAGCCCCCAACCACATTGTCAACATGGAAACCCTGGAGCTGGTCATCTTGCATTTCTCATACTGCTTGCAATAAGAAAGCATTTATTCCCTTTTGAGGAAAAGAAAAAAATATGGAGAGGGTAAAAACAACTCCCACCTACTTCTGCCTTGCTTGGCAAAGATTGACTGAAAGACTCCAATATCAGAATAATCAATCCTTGGGTTTTCTTGCTATTAGAATTGATTTCTTAGTCTTTCTGGAGACTGGAAATCTAGGAAGGGCACTTCTGCAGTTTTAATTGCTACTCTGATCACTTTGTATTCTTGCTTCGGAATAACGTGGGTTGACATTAGAAAAGCAGAGGCAAGGAAGGGTTGAAATGGCACTTATCAGTTCACAAGGCATGAGACCAATTTAGATGGAGGAACTTGCATTTCCATCTCCTCATCAAAATATGCTTCTGAAAATTGCTTTCTTAAGAGTAAATACACTATCATGCCAGCAGAGACAGAGTTCAGATCTTCTCAGTAGGCTCTTGTTCATACATAATTTTGAAGTTAAGGATCATGACTTGCTTTTGACTTGTTGGCTTGTTGGTTTTGTTTTCCATTTTGTTTGGTCATTCATTTCCTTGACTGTGCTTTCAAACTGGCTCTCAACCAACAGATTATCATCATAACATGTTGTTACAGGGATTGTTATTTTGTTTTATTTCAAAGAAACAGAACATTTTTAAAAAGAAAAAAGCTTTCAAGAAAAGAAGTAGAAATAACATCACCAGTAATATTGTTTAAGCTATTTTAAAATGTATATATAATTTAAAATTCTTTTAAATTTCTTTCTCCCGATTGCAAATTGCAATCCATCTTTGAATTCTAAGTGGGATACAAATATGTAAATGAATAAATAAAAATAAATTAGAAATCAGAAATCCTACAATCCTCAATTAACCAGAGCTTCACTGAAATCCAATCTAAGAAATAATTTTTCTCTGGCAATGTCAGAAACAGCAACCTGACAGAAAGCCAGTGGAACGGAGATGGATGGAGAAAAGAAAAACACTTGATGGCAGAATTTATTGCACATGTAAGATTATGTAATGTTCCTAAATACCCTGCTATCATCATACACAAAATTCACTATTCTTTTTTTTTGAAAAATGTTACACTCATTCTGAAAAGATAATATATACCTGAATGTAGGACAACAGAGAGAGAAAGATATGGGATGAATTAAATTTGGACATGTCATCCCAAGAAAGGAGAATGTTATGCACCAAACACCAAGTTTCTCCATGTATTTTAATCTGCAATTCCCAACAGATCCAGTCAATATGTCCAATTATAAGAGATAATGGCACTTGTAGGCAAAATCGACTAGAAGAAATGAGGTTGGGAATGCTGAACTAGATGTACTGGAGGAAACAGTATCCAAAATCCAAGATATAAAGATACTGCACTCCCATTTTTCTACTCTACTACTGAATTGTTTCAGATGTTAATAATACAGTCAGCTACAGAAAGTTTAAATGATTTTCATTTCCTTAACAGATGTATTTTTAATATCCAAAGAGAAGAATTATGTGAATCCTGGGGCAGATTCAGTATGTAGTATTACTCATGTTTCCAATCTTTACAAAGGTGAGGTTGGCCCTGGCCATACTGCCAGCAAAACAGTGCCTAAAACACTGTAGGAAACTGACCCAGAATGTTGATTTTGCAGTATTAAAATTCAGCTTATTACTGAACCACATTCTCGTATTTAAAATAAAAGAGTGCTAGAGATTGCATCATATTCCATTTTGTATATTCTTAGTAAAAACTTCCTATACTCAACAAAAAAATTCACATTATTGATATGTATTATGTCTATATACATTAAACAAAATGTTTACATAGTCACCTGACTGACAAGTTTATTAAACATTTTCCTATAATTTTAATATTCTATAATAAGGGTTTGAAATTTCAGGAAAAAAAGTGAACCACTTGAGGTTCTTACTAGGCAGTTCTGTACACTGTTGAATAATCTTCTGTGTATTAAACTGAAGGGGAGGGGAATGAACAAATTCTGCACATTTGCTCTGGCTGTACAAGTTGGTCTTGCTTCTGTGCCTCCTACGAGATAGGTGAGAAGCAAGGGACTGTCGGCTGCATGGGCTTGATGTACAACCACTCCCTTTCAAAACCACAGAATGGAAGCAAGCTCAGTCTTCCATGAAACAAATGGGATTCCTGTATATGAGCAACAAGCACACATTCTTGAAAAGTGCAAAACTGTTATCCAAAAACAAGGCCAGCCATCATTGCTATCAGTTCACTGCCATCAGCCTACCTGATAAGCCTCCCACATCCATCTTCTTCAGATTCTTTGCTTCTAGGATGACAACAGTCAGCTTGCCAGCGGTAGGCACATAGCGGAGAGAGAAGCAGATGTCACCTAGCTTCTCTTGCTGCAACAACAAGAAAATATAGGCTGTCATTTGTATCATTTTAAGAGAAGAGTGTGCTGTACATTAAAAACACAAATTTAACCCACAGTTTTAGGGGTTTTTAAAAAAAGAAATTCAAGCACTTATTGCAAAATAACTAAATACCAAGAAAAAAGAGCCAAAAGCAATTCAGGTAAATGGAGAGAAGAAGCTGAAAACTTCACAGATCCCCCATCACAGTAATTGCTGTGTTTTAAGTCCTGAGAGTGAAGCAATGACAACAGAAAACCCCCACTCTTGGCATTATCAGAAGTCTTGAGATTTTACTTGTTAAAAAACAGCAATGGTACAATAATAGTATAAGAAGTTCTTCAGGATATTGCCACTGGAGTTTTTCCCATGTCTGTGTGAATAAGAAAAAAATGCAATGTGGAAAACATGGATTATACAAATTATATGACATTATCAACACTTTTGACTTGCTGTCATCAGTAAGATTAATGGAGTTCTATAAATCATAGTTCTGTTGCAAGTGAAATCCATAGACATTAATGCTTCCTACATGAGTTTTATACTTACAGAGATGGAAAAATCCTCAAATGTCGAAGGACTCAAACTGTACCAAACATGAAATGCGTTTGGAAAGAATGTTCTATGCCAACTTTTTATACTAGGCATTTCCAAGTTATTTTAAGTTGGACTGTGTACACTATTTGACACATAGCCAAATCTTATGCTGACACCAGGTTTTACACATACCATGATGCAGAAAAATGTGTGTGTGTGTGTGTGTGTGTGTGTGTGTGTGTGTGTGTGTGAACTTGCTAACCATGTATTGAAGCTAAACCCTTTCTAACTCTCCATGACATGCACCCAACAATGTCATTCTTCCAGCACATTCCATTAGTTTTTGGACAAGTTCTGGAATTTTCACAAGGAAGGATTCCAGCATTGTTTCTAGTTGCACAGTTGCTTGCAGTAATTTTAGCATACACAGAGGCTAGAAGAAGGAGTGCACAACTAGAAAAATCAGCAGAACTTTGCCAGTGCACTGCTTTGCACCATTAAAATTACATGGGCCTTAGGCTCTTAATTTTAATGTGTTAGGCACCTTTTGGAGTTGCAAACATGTTACATGTAGTAATTCCATGCTACTTCATTGCAGAAAAATGAGGTAATTATCTGTGAAAATGGCAGCAGATGCACAACTTATTTCAAATTATAATTTTTCTGTTATCTCAAATGTGTTAGCCACTAGCACACAATTTGCTGTTGAAAACTATTAGCAACCTTTTAAGCACAAAAATGGGATTGGTTGTGATTGTAATGAGCACATCATTAGTTTTGTTGTCAGAAAACAGTGAACTGTGCTCATTCTTGACATGTTTTTCAATAAACAAACTGTTTTAAAAGACATCTTGTCTTTTATACATCTAGTAAATCATATTAAGTGTTTTCCCAACAGATGTAATGCTAGATGTCATTAATGACTTCAAGTGCTTATTTCTATTCTGAGCCCAACATATCAGAGAAAATCCTCCAGCTATAATGGCCTGTGCTACACTACTGAATGCCACACAAACCCATTTTGCTGAACTGCAGCCACAAATTATAGAAGCTTTTAATAAAACAAATAGATAAATATATCTGAGCATGAAGATACAAGAAGGATGTTGCAAGGAGAAGACCTCATGCTGCTCAGTAATGATCATTAGGAATATTAGGCTGGCTCCTTCACATTGCTACTTCTTTTTAAAAATTGCAGAACCAGTTCACACTAAACACTCTCATTAGGCATTTCAGGCCTCCTTGATCTTTCTTTGACAGATCGTTCTCCTTATGGCATTTAGTTTAATTCCACAATTAGTTTGGGAAGTAAGACAGCACATTCTGAAGCCTTCCCTATGCTTCTATCAAAGATCAAGGGCACTTTGAACCTCTACAAATTATGCCCAGCCTAGGAACCATTGACAAAGGATTATAAGCAGCATCTGAGGTTCTCTCCTCTTCTATGTGGTTTCTCCAGCTGGCTTTAGCTATGGGCGAGTCTTACAGGGACAATGACTTTAATCACAAGTAGTAATATTGACCTGTGTTTCCTGTTAAGTAGAACATGAAAGGGCTACCCAGTGTAATGTACTGGATAGAATGGTAGACTAGAACTCATTAGCCTTGGGTTCAAAACCGTGCTCAGTCATGGAAGCTCACATCATGTACAGAACTGGTAAAACCACTCCTTAAACATCTCACTTACCTTGAAAACCCCATTAGGGTCTCTATAAGTCAGCATCAACTTGAAGGCATATAACAATCAGAATATGAAAGCAACATTTGAAGTTTTAAAATTGTGATCATTAACAAACTCCGGTTAAAATTAAAAACAGGAATTAATTCTAGTATAAGTTTCATAAGACTACAAAAAGCACAGAGGTGGTGGTCCCTGCCTTGAAAGTACTGCCAGCTGATTTTCTGAGTAGCTGGGTGTTCTTCAACTTGTCACTTCAGCATGAGGTAACTCCTCCTGACTTAGAAGATGAATTCTTGCTGAGTCTAGGGATTAACTGAGCAACCGTAATCACCATATGCAGTATTTAATACATATAGAACAAATGTATGATTCCTTAGCATTCACCATAATATTATAGATTAATGTATATTGTGCCTTGTATCTGTGATTCACAATGCCAGTAAATGGCCTAAGATTGCTACACAATATCAGATACTACACTTGATCTTAGCCAAAAGGCCGAGAAGCGATATGTTTTAATGAAATTTTATTATCCTGCCCGAAACAATAACTGTATGTATCTATTTTATACTGTTTTGGTTTTACTGGTCTTAGACCGTAATAAAGTACCACAACTACTGCTGCACAATATCATGCTTGCTTTGCAGCAGGAAAAAGGATGCCAAGCTTTATATAGAAAATGGTAGCCTGAATGTTGACAATATCAATGGCAGAAGTCAAGACAGTCTACAGAATACTCTCTTGTGTTTGCTACCATTCACAAAAGGCCACTAAGTACAGGAAAATCCCCTACTTCAAAATAAAACAGTTTTTACATTTAAGAAAATCATAACTCAAAAAACCCTTTGCCCAAACTTCCCCAAATTTCAAACAGGGCCACAGCAGACTGTCTGCTACAACTATGCCAAATTTAGTGTTAATTGGAATTATGATTTTTTTTTGTTTATGCTGCTGCCATTATAGAATTTGCCTTAAAGAACATTGATTTGCTCTGCCAGCACAAGATCATTGTTGCGCTCGCATGCAGCAATACTGTAATAATATCACACTGGCATCTCTTATGGAATCATCAAATATGTTTCCAAGCCTGATGATGACATTTAAATCTACAGGGTGATTCCAAACCAAGCCTAAAATCAATAGTGGAAGTTAATTATTAATTCAAAGGGGAGTAGGTACAACTTGGTCTGGATCCAAAACACGGACATCACAGACACAAGATTTTTGTGCCTGCTTGTAGAGGTATCTGATGCCTTATTTGCTAGTGGAAGTCACAGTTTGAAAACAGCTTACTCAATGGCTGACAAGGCTTTCTGATCCAATGCTGCTAACCTGGACCTCAGCCACAGGGCTCAGAGTACTTTCTACATATCTCTAATTTAACCTAAAAATCAGCATTTACCCTTAAAAATTATGATAGACTGAGCATATGGAAAGAAAATTTATTTGCAATAAATAGAAGAAGCTGCATTTTGTCACAAGTACACAAATATATTTCAGTTGCTATAAACAGAGTGTTGTGCATGTGACCTTTGTGACCACTTTCAGGGGCTTTCAGCCATTTCTTTTCATGAACAGCTGCAGAAAGTAGCTAAGTGATCATCTATTAGGAAGCACTGGTTTGGCGGTCTTCTTCTGCCTCACTGGTAAGGGTATTGTGACTACTACAAAAACATGGTCCTCAGTTTTGTCAGCTTCCTTTATACCCTTTGGCTTTGTTTCTGCTCACCATCAGCCCCAAACACTGCTGGCATGCCCATCCAGCTTTACAATGTCATAATTATTTATCATCATCATCATGGTTGCTATGTGATCCCTTACTAACTAAGATACTTCTGTCAACAAGAAAGCAACTTTGATGGGGAGAGAGAACTGTACCTAAGCAGGAAACAAGAAGAACAATGGCAATGGAAACATAAGGAAAATCACAAAGAGTCCAATATCGATAACCATCCAGGCAATCCTCAGCATTCCTTTGGGCACATTTATGGCACAGAACTTGCAGCACATGTCTATCCTCTATCACCTGGATTCAAAGATCACCTGCCAACACTACCAAGCAACAGCTTCCCAACCTTTGTCAATAAAAGGCTTCCATCTCCAGGAAAAATTCACAAACAAAAGGCTCACACAGTGTAGTCCACAATAGCCACCTACCTATCTGAGTAGTATAAATCAAATCTGCTTCACTATGTTCCATTGAAATATCCCAAATTTCAAAGAAAATCCTCTGAGATGAATTATACTTTCAAAAATGAGTGCTGGAGTACATCATACTGTAAGCTCTCCTCAAAAAAAAAAAGAGGTGAAAACTACTGAGCAGCCAATACACAGAAATAAACAAGTCATAACTGGAGGTGTAGTTTTAAATGATAAATGCAAATCCCTGCTGAGCTAAGAGGTAGAGACAAGTGTTTCTACAGAGATTATTATCTCCCACAGGTGCCTTATTGTCATTATGATTAGCTTTCAGCCTTACATATACCAAATTTATTTTAAGCAATTGCTCTGATCACCAGATGGAAACTTTCAGATTGCATTAGAAGCATCCAGCTGTGAGGTTCACAGAGGTCAACCTCTTCTTTTCACATGCTCAATTGCCAGTCAGAAGGGTCCTTCTGTGTAAGCATTTTTTAAAAAAAATTTTTTTAAAGATAAAATTGCTGCTACTGAATAGAACACATATGAATTCAAAATTTTAATGGGCAGCATCAACATCATTTTCCTCTTTATACAAAATGACCATTTAACCATTCACAAATACCTCACAGAA